AAATACTTGTGCAAATCTTTTTTATTTACACTGGTGATCAGAAAGACAACAATATATGGGAAAAAAAACATTTTCAAACACATGCTGAACAGGACCTACTTCTTCTCCAGAGGTGGTAACACTGACATAAGAGGAATGCTGTGACATGGGAAACCATGAGATCACCTATCCTCAGAGCGTCAGTCATTTTTACACTCTCGTAGATACACTGTCACATTCATAGTCTTCAAAACAGCCCCTTATTCCTAATGCAATGGAAGATTTGATATTAGAAGAAGGTGGGTGTTTGGCTACAGGGGTCGGTTAGCACAGATTTTACTACCTTTTGTAAATAAACAGTAACATGCTGGCATATAGGCTGCTGTGAAATTACTGTTAAACCTAAAGTTATTCTGAGGCTGAATACTGAAATCCAATATTCTGTAGTATACCGTGAAGATAAAATACAGTAGATCTGCATGGTAAAATAACTAACATGCTGGCATCTCTGCTGCCAACACTTTACCGTTTTACAGTGAAATTCTTCACAGTGCAGCTATTTTCTGGTCCGCTGAAGGTCATAGAAACAAAAATGTAACATAAAAATGTTTGCTTTCTTCAACTGCACTCATCTATGATGTTAAAGCAATTGAAAGTCACTAACTTTTTGGTGAGGGTTTAGTTTTACAGAATCAAAGGTAAGGTAAGGAAGAAAATGGCTTGTGGATTTAACATAGGGTAAGTTCAGGGTGAGTGGGACAGTTTTCGGTTTTCTGCATTGTGTGAGATTTCTGGCTATGGATTTCAAAAAATAACCCAACATATGATACATTTCTGTAATGCTGAAGATGTTACCTATCCATTTGAGGAGGAAAGAAGATCTGATTATGTTCCATGGATGCATGGCATACCCTTTTTTGTGAACTGACTAAAATTAGTTTTTGTGTGTGAGATTTGGGTGAGTGGGACAACACATCTGATCACTGATTTAGCCTGTTACCTTTATTGAACATGCCTAAAAACACAAATTCATGGATACATGTATCCGAATTCAGGTCAAAATTTCATAGAACATGGTAAATTATAAAAACATATGTCTGAAAACAACAATGTAACAGAAGTACAACATTTTTTCAGGTCAAAATTTCATTTAACACGTTACTCTGTGAAAACAAATGCCAACAAACAAAAACAAATCAGTCTGGGTACAGACAATCCCTGCAGGTGAAGGTGTCTGAACTGTTCAATTATCCCATTGTCCTCTCCGTAGGACTCATGGAACCAATGCTTGTGAGTGTGTGTCTGTGTGTTTGTGTGTGCATGCGTGCAGTTTGTATTGGCTGGTGTGTGTGTGTGTGTTCCTCTATATATCCTATCATCAACAATAGGCTTGAAGAGTTGGGGACAGTCTGCAAATTAGATCCTGGGAAATAATCTGTTATCATGCATCCCTAGTAGGCTGGGTACACTTGCTGTTTATGCTAGCTGTTTTGCTAGCTAGGTAGTAGGGCTAGCAGTAAAATTGAGGTGCTCCATCAACAATTGTGTGGTAGATTTTGGGTCTGCACACACAAGAAGGTTAGGAACTATTAATCTGGAACATATATAATGATTTCCTATGGCAGGATTGATCATTTTTATTCATTAAGAGTGCCTTTTGGTGCTGTCCCACTCACCCAAAACCATGCTGTCCCACCCACCCAAAATAAAAATAGCCTAATTCCATAAATGTACACATAATCTTAACATTTTTTTTCTGATTTTATTGTAGAAGTGCATCAAATTCATGTTTCCAGCAAATATCTCTGCAATATCTTGGCGAAAACATTTTTATAACCTTATGATCATAACAATCAAAATCTTATGCCATTTACCTCACCTTGGGTTATGCAGGGTCAACTTCCTGATTGATGTTGGCCCCGCCCCCACATGTGACATCACACCAATGAGTGTAAGCAACTCTGATAATGTGGTTTCACAGCAAGGCTCAGCAAAAAAAAAGTTTTTGTTTTCAATGACCAGGGGAGAAAATACAGCCAATTTACTTATACTGTCCCACCCAACCTGATGTCCCACTCACCCTGAATTAACCCTATTATAAAACTGTTAGACAGAGATTTTAGAAAAGTGTTACCTCTGGTTCATAGACAGGAAATCAGCTACATTTGGATTTAAGATGTGAATGTCTGCGATAAATAATGATTGCTGGCTAACATAATTTAATCACAAAGTTGGGTTGAATGTGAGTGGGGTTGGGTGGCACACTGATTTTAGGGTTGATTGGCACCTGTGGAAACCAATTGTAACAGTTGTAACCGTATTTTGAGAGTTTAAGAACTTATTTTTAAAGACTAAAAACAACGTTTATATAGTTCAATTTTTATTATTATTTCGAATGACCCTGTCTAGTGCCAGAGTTTGATTTGTCTGTTCTGGGCTGCTGTAGAAACATGGCAGTGCAACATGGCGATCTTAATGGTTGAGGACTCGCTCCTTATGTAGCTATAAACAGCTCATTCTAAGGTAACAGAAACACAACAATTCTTATTTTGATGTGATTACACACTAAAGAAAACATACTAATTATATTTTATTCCATTTCTGCCAATTCCCCTAAATTACCCCCTTTATTTATAGCTGAGACCCTGACCTTTGATTTGCTGCTGCAGAAATATGGCAGAGAATGAAATGTGTGCCAACCAACCTTGATCTCCCATAAATGTAATCTAAGTTATTTCAGATGTATGTTAGTAAATTAATGATTTAATTTGTTGAATTTTATTTGGGATTATTAAAAAAATGTGTGGCATTCTGTGAGGATAAAACAAATTTATGTATAGTAACTTCATTTTAACTGAGGCATTGTTTCCCTCCTGTGAACGGCAGCTGGTGGACAGTAACAACAACTATTGCACAATATAAACACAGTAATCCTGCAAAATATGGTATGACTATGTGAAACTTTTTGGGGGTTATTTTTGTTGTTGACACTGTGTCAGACAGCTTTTTGGAGTCTGTAGTTGTGATTAAAGAGGGGATATCTGATGTCAACCTGCCCACCCCCCAGCACTTGTACACTTCTTGGCTGAGGAACAGGCTGGTTAAATTATTACACACTCCTCACACTCTGGACTTAACTTCAGACTTGCCCCCTCTGGTGGGTGCTACAGACCACCTGACAACCAGTACAACCAGTGATCATGGATAGTTTCTTTCCACAAACCAACACACCCATGAACAGAGCAACCCTTGTGCAATAATCCTGCAACTTCAAACCACCTCACTGCACTTACAAATTATTCATACACACTGACATTGACATGCACATGAAATCCCTTTACTCAGCAGACTGTATGTTCTGTATTTCCATAAGCACATTGACATGAACTACCTCTGTATACTAACTATTACATTAGCCATACAATATTTATTCCAACACCTTGCACTGCCATGCACTCTTGCACTTCTTATATATACAGTGCCAATCACAGCACAGCCATGTACATGCACTTCACAGCCCTGTATATAAATACTGTACGGTTGTGTTATAGCCATATCTATTTTCATGCACTTGTACATACTAGCTGCATATATTCATGTTTGCTAATATTAGTTTAGCTTTGTGTTCTTCTGTGTATGTTTCCTTCGCTGTACTTGTTCTTGTCACTGTGTAAATGCACTTAATGCTGCTTGAAACAAATGTCATATTACCTGTATGTGTCACAGTTGCCAGATGGGTTTGTTTCATTTTGTCCAGGAGAGACTAAATAACAATATTACTTTGTTGAAAGTAGGAAAATACTCTTCAAACTCTTACTTAAAGGTCCAGTGTGTAGGATTTAGACAGATATATTGGCAGAAATTGAATATTATATAATAAGTATGTTGTATTTAGTGTATAATCACCTTAAAACAAGAATTGTTGTGTTTTGGTTACCTCAGAATGAGCCGTTTATATCTACATGGGGAGCAGGTCCTCATCCACAGAGTCTGCCATGTTGCACCACCATGTTTCTACAGTAGCCCAGGACGGACAAACAAAGCACTGGTTCTAGATAAGGCCATTTACGTTTTCATGTTGGTCACAGTATAGCAGCCCCTCTGCAACAAGAGTGTTGGAAAACTAAAGATTTTTTAATGTGGAACAGCTTTATTCAGTGTTTTTACTGGTTTAAATCACCAGTTCTGTTTGTTTCAGAGAGGAGGAGACCTCTGCAGATATTTCAACTCATGGTTAAAAACCCCTGAACAATGAACACTGAAAAAAATCTAACTGGGAGAAGTTTCAGCTGGTTGCAATCCACAATCCTCACCACTAGATGCCACTAAATCCCCCTAAATCTCACACACTGTTCCTTTAAGTAAAAGCACAAAAGTCTTAGCATCCAAATTTATACTTAAAGTGCAAAAAAGTAAAAGTACTTATTGTGCAGAATAACCAGTGTCAGAATCATATATATTACTGGATTATTAGTGATGCATTCATGTGTAAATTGCTTTAAATAATAATAATAATAATAGCTGGTAAAAGTGGAGCTAATTTTAATGTCAACTGAATTGCTTAATCTATAGTAATCCATCATAATTTATCATTTTATTCATATTTTAAATTGTTAATCTGCAAAGTAACTGATGACTACAGCAGCCAAAGAAATGCAGTGGAGTGAAAAGTATTAAGTAGCATAAAGGAGCATAAAATGGAAATACTCAAGTAAAGCAAACAGCAGCAGAAGCGAAAAGCAACTGCGCATTCATATTAGTACGCATGCGCAGTTGCTTTTCAGCAGCAGAAGCGAAAAGCAACTGCGCATGCGTACTAATATGAAACTATTACTGAAAGGGCCAACGGTTGATGTTAAGCACAATTATTTTATTCCAGCAACCCAAACAAGACTTATTTTAGCTTGACGAACTGTTGCTAACTGGATGCGTCGTTTTTTTTAATTTAAAGACAGACATGGCCGCTTCTTGATATCTACAGCGGTTGAAGCGGAACCGGAAGTTGCTGGCAGTGAGTCCTCTCTGCTGGTTTGTGATGACACACATCAGCAGCACCAGCTTCTTCCAGAAGTTTCCTCGCACGGTTTTTATCGCGGCGGCTACACGCGGACACTCCTGCACGAAGACGGCATTTTTATGTTGAGTTTAGTGACTTTGATGTCCGTGTCTCGGTGAAGAGTGGAAAGTTATATCCGAACTGTGTCAAGTGAGGGAAGCTAACCTTGACCGTTAGCTAGCCAGCTATCGTCAGCAGCAGTGACAGCTGAGGCAGCGGCGGCGGTGGTGGAGCCCGTTAACCTGGCCCACATACAGGACATGCTGGATGTGTTGTTGACACTTATCAGAAACTGAAGCGTCTGCACTGACGATGTTTGTTTGAAGTGGAAGAAGAAGAAGTAGTGACCGGTTATTGTCATGGGTAAAGATTACTACAAAGTGCTGGGAATCGCCAAAGGTGCCTCCGAAGATGAGATAAAAAAGGCGTACAGAAAACAGGCCCTGCGTTATCATCCCGACAAGAACAAGTCCCCCGGAGCTGAAGATAAATTCAAGGAGATCGCTGAAGCCTATGATGTCCTCAGTGATGCCAAGAAAAAGGACATTTATGATCGCTTTGGAGAAGAAGGTAACTGAACTCCCCTCAACTTGCATGTGGTTTTATAGCAGCCATTATGTGCTTGATCCCATTTATAACCTTATCATCTCTTTAGCAAACCATGCATGTGCACTTTAGATGTAGCTGATGCATCCTTTTAATAGGTCATTGCTGTTTCTGGCCTCTTTCTACATCAGTAACCACACAATGAAGAGGTGTGTGTGTGTGTGTGTGTGTGTGTGTGTGTGCACAATGTGTGTAACGTTAGCTGGGGAACCTGCTGGAAACAACGAGTTCTTGCCTGTCCTGCCAGATTGTCACTGGAATGATAATTCTGGTTTAACCAGCTCAAAATGCTCTTATATGTGCCTTTAGGCTGCAGTGTTACTGTCTGTACACTTATTGGGGGCAGGGGCAGAGATAGAGATCTAATTTATAGGCATTAAAAGTAAAAAAAAAACAGCACCATTTACACATGACATTATCATCTCATCTTTTGCATCATGATCCCACTGGTCTTGCAACTCATCAATATTGGTGTATGCAATGAATTTTGGTGGGGATGAATGATTTATTGGTAAAAATTTAACACGAGTAAGCACATTATTAACATTTGTCGAGATTCAATTTGAAACAGGTGATATTTTGGTGTTTTTACTCAAGCGATCACAGACTGATCGTCAAAAGTACAATCTATTGAATTCATGTCAAGTATATAACTGAACTTTTCACTTTCCTCCACTGTCAAATCATAATTTTAATGTTTACTAGTAAAAGTGAAATGGTGTATTTGCAGAAGCTTTAGTAATTATGATAATTCACTTTCCTCCAAGATGTTGATCAGTAATTTGTTTATTAGAGCAGATCAATATTTAAGAGTTTAAAAAGCCATCCAGTATTATTTTTTTATGGGAACAATACATGAACGTCAGGCACTCACGTGTGGAGCAGGAACAGATGCATTTAAATTAAGTTAAAAAGTCTTTAGTTCAAAACATGGCTGCTTACAATAAAACACGGACTGGTTTCAACCCGAATGTCTTCGGCAGGGTGCAGGGTTTTTTCCTGGGTATCATATGATTAAGATGGTGCTTCTCGTTCTTTAAAGTGTGATTATTTTTTTATAATCATTACACTAACTTTTTCCTCTTTAGGGTTAAAGGGTCCAGCAGGCGGTGGAGGTGGAGGACACAGCGGCCAGAGCTACAACTACACCTTCCATGGAGACCCTCATGCAATGTTTGCCGAGTTCTTCGGCGGCCGCAGCCCTTTTGATCACTTCTTCAACCAAAACGGGGAGGATGACATGGACATCAATGATCCCTTCGCGCCATTTGGCATGGGAAGAATGGGTGGCATGGGCGGGTTTCACAGGTCCTTCAAATCCCACCATGGAGGCCCGCACAGAGCGCACGAGAAGAAGAAGGACCCGCCCGTGATGCACGAGCTGAAGGTGAGCCTCGAGGAGGTCTTCTCCGGCTGCACTAAAAAGATGAAGATCTCCCGCAAGAGACTGAACCCGGACGGGTGCACCATGCGCAACGAAGACAAGATTTTAACAGTCGACATCAAGCGGGGCTGGAAGGAGGGGACGAAAATCACCTTTCCCAAGGAGGGAGATGAAACTCCCAGCAACATTCCTGCAGACGTGGTGTTTGTTGTTAAAGATAAACCGCACCCGGTGTTCAGAAGAGAGGGCTCAGATATAATCTATCCTGCAAAAATATCACTGAGAGAAGTAAGTGAACACTGATGTCAGAAAACATCAGGAAATTTGCTCCAATAATATGTTGACTAAAATGCTGATTATCATCCATTCTCTTCCCGTCTCTCTCCAGGCACTGTGTGGATGCACAGTCAACGCCCCGACACTAGACGGCCGGACCATCACTGTAACCTCGAGAGACATTGTCAAACCCGGAATGAAAAAGCGAATCGCTGGAGAAGGGCTCCCTCTATCCAAGTGCCCCGAGAAGAGGGGCGACATGATCCTGGACTTCTCAGTAAAGTTCCCTGACAAACTTGGCCAAAGCACAAGAGATGCACTCAAGCAGATCCTGCCGCCATGACTTGAAACGACACAAGTGGTCCCTGAAAATCTAACACATTAACATTTCCAGCCACACACTCTCCTGCGCATTTCAGCCTGGACGTATGAGGCTCAGGGCAGATTTGGTTCCAGCTGAGTTCTAAATTTTACCCTCTGAATACCAAATCCATATTCTTACCCAGCATCTAGTCAGTTTAACGGAAGGAGACAGAACAGCTGACTAAATGTTCCGTGTGCGCGTTTAGCTAAGGTTGATAAACAGTGTTACGTTACAGTCTGCTTCAAGGAGGAAAAGCAAGAAGTGGAAAGTATATAGTGTGTATACTGTAGATAATATAAGGTGTCAGGTAATAGGTTTTGGTTTGGTTGCAAAAATGAGAACCAGAGTGTTTTTAAGTTCACTTAAAACATAATTTAGTAGCTGAGGATTTGTTTTCGCAGCAGCAGCAGCAGCAGTGTTTGGGAGCACTCTAAGGCAGCACACAGCCAGCTCATTAACAATACCTCAGGTGCAGTGACGCATGCTTTCATGTAGCTTTACCTACATTACTCAACAGGACGTGACTTTTGTTTGAGGCTTAAATACAGTGTGGATCCCGAGAGGTGAAAACACTTGCTATCAGCACCACTACAGACTTCATGAAGGAGATCAGTATCGGCCAGATGTAACAGATCTGCGTTAAACACACCGTCTGTGTCTATGTCAGTGTTTCAGTTGTCTCCACTCACAGTCACAGCAGGCTGCCAACTGTTAGAGCCGTACCCTCAGAAGAAGAATATAATTAAAATATGCACAAGCCTTAAAATAGTAATGATGTGCGGATGTCTCTGGTTATAATTAAGAAGAGATATTAAGTTACAGTTACGTAACTATGACTTCCAGATTTTAAATTTAGGAAAGAGAGAGAGCACCGATTGGTACTTTATGTCCTCGCATATCTGGGTTTAGGTTTCAAATTGCGATCAGGAGAGAAAATGTTTACTTTTACAACACCTTGTTTATCAGACACGACGCAGTTTATCATGTAAAATATCTGTGGGAAGACTTTTTGTGCCAAATAATTGTCCATATGTAGTTATAATATATATGTGTGTGTGTGTGTGTGTGTGTGTGTGTGTGTGTGTGTGTCTACAGGTATGTTGAGAGCATGTGTGTATCCTGTCATGTGTGAACAAACTACCAAAAGCTATTTACTGCATTCGTACCATTTGAGGATGTTTAACGTACAGTATGTCTATTTTAGTTCCTTATTACTTTTATTTTTAAGGCTCTTAAAGCCGGTGAGTGTATTTCTTTTATTACCCAACATGCATCAGTCTGGTCCCGGCTAAATATTGCAGATTGAGATGTTAACATAAGTTTAAACCCCCGACTCGAAGGCCTGCAGAATATATTGTTTTATTGTTTTGTCTTACAGCTCGTACCTGAGAGCACTCGCTCCAAGATGCACAGCATCTGGAAATATGTGTCATATTCAGCCCTGTGCACCTTGGACTGAAGTTAGTAGATAAGTTAGTTCATTTTCACATTTTATTTTGTCATTATTTTGGTGTTTACTGCTCCTGCCGGAGTTTTAAGTTAAAACATGTAGTTAAACATGAATGTAGAGATGTTTAATCTCTGTAATGTGTTAACTTTTTTGTTTTAAAAAAGGATTCTTGTTTATTTTTGTTAAACATTTTCCTTTTTAAGGGAAAAAGTGTAAGCATTATTTTGTTTTACCTCCTGTTTATGTTTTGAAATTCCTCAGGTTGGGATTCAAGATGTTTTGACTTTTTGACTAGGGTTAGTTTTAGGGTTAACCTTTGTCGTCTGGACAACGTGATGGACGTTTTTAATATTTTCTTACCATGCTGTGATGATTTGCATTTACACATGAAAGAGACTGGCAAATATCTAATCAATTATGGCCTGTTTGTTTTTAGTTATTGAGGACATTTTAGCAATTAAAGCATTGCAAGCAAATCTCATGGTTGTCTTTAATATCTCAATAAGGTTCAAGAAAAGTTCATTTTCTTCATATATCGCTATGCAGCATTTTCATTTTTTCTACAAAATTTAAGTTGCAATAAGAGGGGAGATTAAAAGTGGTCTCACTCAATATGCAACATGTTTTAAATGACTTGTCTTCTTGCACAGTTTTCAGCTATTTCCTGTAGTTTAAGCTCCGCTTCTTCTATTATTTTTATTTTTTAATACAAATTAATCTGTTAACATTATTCTGTGCAAAAGTCAGTTGCCATTTCCAAAAATTCAAAAACGAACTGAAATGGGACCTCAAGCTCACACATTGAATGCATACAGATTCATTCAGTCGTGTACACACTGCTCTGTGGTGGTGACTTCTTGTAACTACATCTGTTTATTGATTATTTTATTTTGAAAGGTTTTAACCAGTGATATAGTCCGGTTGTTACCCCTGAGATTAGAGAAACTCTGGGTATTTGGTTCCAGAAAGAGAGGTGACTTAATCTCTGGGTCAGTTTCTGTGGTAACTGACTCTGAACTGTTCAACAAACTGAACTCTGTCTCCTCCCTCTGACAACCAGACACGCTGATTCCTCTCCTCATTGATTCAGTCCGTATTGAAGCACATTAATTAGCTAAGGTTAACCATACTGTATGTCAGATTCAAAACCTGGTTGGATATGAGTTTATTACTCATGACTATCTAAACATTACACAGCATGAAGTCGCCCTCAGCTCTGACTAACCTCCGCATGACCGTCTTTTTTTAAACACTGCAGACAACTGTGAGTTTGTTGGCGCAGTTCCACTAAAATTTTTATTGCACATAAGGTGTGATCGCATTTGAAATTGTAAAAACAGGTACAGGCATCAATGAATAATTATACCAATCACTCAAGATGTGATTGTTCACACTAATGGAACATAATTCCTATGATGTTCAAGATTGTATTAATAGCCTATTTCTGAGTGAGCAGGATAGTGGTGCAGCTGCAGACTGTGAGTTTGCCTGACTGTGTTTTCACCGCATTTCAGTGAAAATGTTTAAAATGACTACATTTGTAGAAGTAGGCTTGTTGAAGCAAAGCCACTGACTGACTGCTCTACCATAACTGTACTCAAAAGCAAATTACCAACCACATCTGGACCATATCGTGAGGCCATAGTGTCTCTATCTTTGATCTATTTTTTAAATCTTTAACTATATTTTTCAGTTTGTGGCCTCTGAATTTTGTTTCCATCAGATTAAAGCTGAACAAATATAAAATATAAAAGGTAATGTAGCCTATGGCCTAAATGATGAATTAATGGACAACACTGAATAAAACTGGATTGTGTTAATTTTTTTCGCTTTAACTGAGGCTCTTTTTCTTTTAAGATAAATGTGCACATATAGGCCTAAACATACATGACAAATTTATCATAATTAGGAGCTTGCAATCCCAATTATTAATACCTCTATGTGCACTGGATTAAAATGGAGACTGCCTTTTATTTACCTGTTGCCATCGTAAATCGTAGCATCAGAGGTCCATTGATGATGGCTTTTTTCATTCAGCATGTATGAGCTTGAGTTTTCCGTCTCAGGGTCCATCACCTCAGAGCTCTGGGTTGGATTAAGAGTTTGTTAAACCTGCTCTGTGGACCAGAAGTATGGTGATGCTGTTGTGTCTAACTTGCCACTGATACTATTGCAATTACTCACTGAAGAATTACGAACACCTGCAGGTTCTGAGACGGTGGGCCTCCAGGCAAAGACGTGCAGAAGGCCCCACCACCTCTCCCACATAAGAGCAAGACGGACAGACCTTTCAAGTGTTAAGTCTCTGTGATTTTGTGTACGTTTGTGGTTGTTTTGCTCTATTTTTGTAGTCATCGTGAGTCTCTGTGTGTCTTTGAAACTGTTTTGCATCTCTTTGTAGTCATTTTGTGTTTTCTTTCTGTTCTATTTGTAGTGATTTTCTATTTATTTGTGGCCATTTTGAGCCTCTTCCCTGTCGGTGCATGGCCTTTCAAGTGAAGGCCATGGGGCCCCTGACACTTTGGGCACCTGGGTCTGTGCTCAGTAGGCCTGTTCAGTAATCCATCCATGGTTGCAAAGGTTACAAACCTTCCAACTGTACAAGTGTTATAACACAACTAGTCTATCATATTTCAAATATAACAGTAATTTATTTCATTATATAACACTGAAAATGATCATTTCAATATTCCATGTCAAAAAACAAAGTCAAACATAAAAGAAAGGAACATAAAACAAAAACTATTGCATACAATAACAAACTATGTCCACAATCAAGTCGGAAACAATAGCATCGTTTGACTTCCGGTTACAACATTTCAGAATAAAACTTCTATAGTACATAGCAGTGTAGTTATGCACCGACACTACCAGAGGGCAGTGTATAGTCACAATTATCAACGCTCTTATAGCAAACATCAACTCTATCAAGCAGACGTAGTGTCATACTGACATGTTAAGCTTCTAATAAAATGATAATATTAGTGACTTTGATACAACAGCTAAGCTAATTTAAACCCCTTCCTTTACTTTTAAAAAATTCCGTAAAACAGAACACTCATGACTTGTATTTCCGCCCTCTTCATTGAAGTGCAGATGAATTCCAAAATTGTACATCATCCAGTGAAAGACTGCTTCAGCTCAAGTTCAGAGCTGTTTCTTGTACTTTTTTCAGAAGCGTCACCAGGCTTAATTACACCTTTACAACAATCGCTTCACTGGTAATTGGAGGTTTACGAGGGGACCTGAAGGCGTCATTGTTCCATCCCTGCTGGGCTGGCAGAGAGCTAAATCTACAGCAGCATACCGACACACAGATCCGGTATTTACTTTACTGTCTGCCCGGGCAGAATCAATCTGTCAGGAGCTAACACAATACACTGGACCTTCTTTGCAAGCGTCACGTTATTTTCTGACAACTCACAGCAGCACCGATAGTGGGCTAAGCTAACAGGAAGAGCTAACGACAGTTGGCTGAAACTCCTGCTCCGGTAAGAATGACTGGCCTGCCATGTTTACTCCCTTCTGTTCACATTTAGCGACCATTGTTAAGCTAGCTAACTAGCCTCAGCTGCTCAGGCCACTTTACAGACAGTCACGCTGACAATTTGGGGATTAACAGTCAGTGATTTAAGTGACTTCCGCTTATAGGAGCTAACTACATGCTAAGCTGCTAGCTACCTGAGAGTTGTCAGTGTTTGTGTTGCTAGAAATGAGAGCTATGTGGAAAATGTGCCTCACAGTTAGCAGCTAACATTAGCTTTATGTGATGTCCAGACTGTCCAAGCTGAGGTGAAACGTCACAAGTGAGAAATGTTGGGATTTCTTATTGAAATATGCTTTGAAAGTACATTGTGTTTGGAGATGACAGCATGTTTACATAGATATAATAACAGAAATGCCACAGCTTTGATAAAGAGTTTCTGTTTCTGTTTCACAGCTGAACACTACCCACTGCAGGCTGCTGGACGTGACAGATCCAGCTATGTGAGCTGCTCTGATGTGTGGACTCATAAATCTATTCAGCGCCTGGTTGAGACAGCTTCAAGCTTGTCTGGAGGACCACACTAATACTGTGAAGTAAAACCTCCAACAGCCCTGCAGCTGATTTGGCTGAACAGGTGTATGTTGGCCTGGATCGTAGCATAACTCCCCAGAGCAGCCTCCTCCCCTCCCCTCCCTCTGCTCCCCCCGTAGCACTACTATGCCTCTGGGTTTGGGAAGAAGAAAGAAGGCGTCTCCATTAGTGGAGAATGAGGAAGCGGAGCCCATCCGCGCAGGTCTCAATGTGCCAGGTATGGATGGTCTAGATGGGGGTGTCGTCGGGCTGGGAGAAGGCGCCACCTCTGAAGGTCTCCCTCCTCCACCCAGCAGCATGCGGCCTCGTCTCATCTTCCACACTCAGCTCGCTCATGGCAGCCCCACAGGCCGCATCGAGGGTTTCAGTAATGTGCGGGAGCTTTATGCCAAGATTGGTGAGGCCTTTGGGATACCGCCGTCTGAGGTGAGTCACTCTGCTGATTGAGATGGCTTTGAGGATAACTAGGTTTGGTTCAAGAAGCATAATGGTAAATCTTACTTGGTTGTTGTGTCTCTTCGCAGGTTATGTTTTGCACACTGAACACTCACAAGGTGGACATGGAAAAACTGTTGGGAGGTCAGATAGGGCTGGAGGACTTTATTTTTGCCCACATCAAAGGACAGCGAAAGGAAATCGAGGTTTACAAAGGAGAGGATGCACTCGGGTTGACGATCACTGATAATGGAGCTGGCTACGCTTTCATCAAGGTGAGAAATGTTAAAATAGCCTAGAAAATGGATTTCCTTTTGACTCAAGGATCCCCAGGGGAAGGCAAGACCCTGGACTATATCAGGGTATAATTTCTGCACAGAAAAAATGTCAAGAAATTGCACCTGGCATGGAGAGTGACAAGTTGGATAGTGTATAGTTTATTTGAGTTTTGCCATTTTCAGAGAATCCGCGAGGGGAGCATCATCCACCAGATCCAGGTCATCAACGTGGGTGATATGATCGAGTCGATCAATGGCCAGCGCCTGATCGGGTGTCGACACTATGAGGTGGCTAAGATGCTGAAGGAGCTGCCCAAGGGAAAGGAGTTCACGATCAAGCTGACGGAGCCTCTCAAGGCCTTTGGTAGGTGTGGGAGGAGGAAACTGTGGCCTCACCTGAGAGACAGGCTTTTTGTTTGGTCAGCACCACAATCTCAGATGTGGTGTGACAGCACAACATGCTGCTGTCCTTCGAAAATCAGCTCACACTGACTTATTAGTGTAGTCCAATTATCACTCATAGCAATAAATTGTTTCGTGCCGTATTTAGGTCTAGATCTCACAGTTTTTTTTGTCACTATACTTCATGTTCTTTTCATCTTATTTTGGTTCTCAGTGCTGCTGCCAGATTTATAGTTGATAATCGAAATATTAATGCATAAAATTAATAGACTTAAAGATCCAG